ACAACTTCAACTTGGCCTCTAGATTTCAGGAATTTATGTTTATACCATGCATCCGTTTTCAATCCCCTCATCACCCGATCCAAGATCAGATGTTGGAGTCCATCCCAGTTGTGATTAGGCAGGTAATCCCTGGACACGTACAGTCTATCACAGGGACACACACAGCGACAACCACCTGGTGTGTGTTCGGCTTTGTTGTGTGCACATATAGCAGACCTATTTTTGCTGATGCTAATCTACTGAAGCCCCAAAGGTATGAATAGTTTGGGAGCAATATCTTAATGAATATGTATCAAAATGCCTAAAAATGAAAAGCAGCCAACAAACATGCAGAAAGCTGAAGTGATAGCTTCAGAGGTCTTCATCAGAGGGTTGGGCTGCCGTCTGGGATTCTAGTAACTGTTGTCAACCACTTCTGTAATCCCCCACCTTTACTGCAACCTAAAGTGGCCCAGAAATAATATAAATCCATTTAGTCCTACTAGTGAGGTTGGTCATCTGGGCCTTCTCCCGGTGGGACGTGCCCGGAACACTTCCCCAGGGAGGCGACCAGGAGGCATCCTGATCAGATGCCTCTGAGCCCCCCCCCCCCCGGATGGCCGAGCTCACCCTGTATCTAAGGGAGAGCCAAGCCACCCTGCAGAGGAAACAAATTTCGGCCGCTTGTATCCGGGATCTTGTTCTTTCGGTGACTACCCAAAGTTCGTGACCATAGACGAGGGTGGGAACGTAGATCGACTAATAAATTGTTCGGTCTTCATCGCGACAGACCGGTACAGCGCCCGCATTACTGCAGACGCCGCACCGATCCGCCTATCGATCTCACGCTCCCTACCCCCGTTCGCGAACAAGGCCTCGAGATACTTGAACTCCTTCACTTGGGGAAGGACGTCCGCTCCGACCCGGAGAAGGCACTCTACCCTTTTCCGGTGAGAGACCATGGTCTCGGACTTGGAGGCACTTATCCTCATCCCAGCCGCTTCGCACTCGGCTGCGAACTCAAACAGTCACCGGAAACAGATCCGACTTACTACCGGCAATGCGAACCGAGTTCTGACTCCGGTCGTACAGGGACTGAACAGCCCGTAACAAAGGGCCAGGTACCCCGTACTCCCGGAGCACCCCTCACAGGATACCCAGAGGGACACGGTCGAACGCCTTCTCCAAGTCCACAAAACACATGTGGATTGGTTGAGCGAACTCCCACCATGCACCCTCCAGGACCCCGCTGAGGGTATAGAGCTGGTCCAGCGTTCCACGGCCAGGACGAAAACCACTCTGCTCCTCCTCAATCCGAGACTCGACTATCCGATGGACCCTCCTCTCCAAAACCGCTGAATAGACCTTCCCAGGGAGGCTTAAGAGTGTGATCCCCCTGTAGTTGGAACACACCCTTCGGCCCCCGTTTTTAAATATGGGGACCACCACCCCAGTCTGCCAATCCAGCGGAACTTCCCCTGATGTCCACACGATGTCGCGTTAGCGAACGCAGCCCCACAACATCCAAAGCCTTGAGGAACTCTGGCCGGATCTCATCCACCCCCGGAGCCTTGCCACCACGGAGCTTTTTGACTACCTCGGTGACTTCAGCCCCGGAGATTAGAGATCCCAACTCCGGATCCCCAGGCTCTGCCCCTCCAATGGAGGACGCGCCAGTGGGATTGAGGAGGTCCTCGAAGTACTCCGCCCACCGACCCACAACGTCACGAGTTGAGGTCAACAGCACCCCACCCCCACTGTAAACAGTGTTGGTGGGGCACTGCTTCCCCCCCCTGAGACGCCGGATGGTGGACCAGAATCGCTTCGAG